ATATGTATGTATATATGACATTTTTCAAACTAAGATTCCCATTACTGTCTGTATGGGGCCTATACATGATATTTCACTTGATAGGGGAATTTAAATGTATGCCAAACATGTTAAGGGGATAAAGAACAAAATGTTTACGTACCGGCTGCCTTATCATGCTCTGGTACCACTTCAGAGGGGTAAGGACCTTAAGAGAAAGAGACATTGGAATGCATTTGATTTCATTGAGCTTCGCCCAACATGTAAACTCACTAATGCAGTATGAAATATAGACTCACTAATGCAGTCCTGTCAATATTGATAGCCTTAGAATGTGACTTCTACAAAAGAAAGAAGAAGGTAAATATTTGTTGTGTGCTCCCTAGGTGTCAGGCACTGTGTTACATGTATCACATTCACTTTTCATTTTTTCTCCCATACACTAAGGCAAGTATCATCACCCTCATTTTCATGGATAAGTCCATGAAGAGCTAAAGAGGTTCTGTAACTTGACTGAGGTTGCAAAAGTAGTGATTCTGTTAAATTTTACAGTCCCTGCTCTTCACTACAAAAGCAAAACAAACAAGCAAAAATTATAATAATAATAATATGATATAATATTAATCGAATTATTTTTTGCTTGGTATCACAATGGAAGAAAAAGAGGTAGAAACACTGTCCCGCATCCCTGAGACAAAGATTTACTGGTCACACGTGTCAACCGTTTTTAAGATTTAACAGAAAATTTTGCCTCAAATTCTTACTAACATTTTCTTATTTTCTTCTTCAGTCTGCATGAGTGAAAAGACTCATAAATTGTTACCCAGACTTGTGAGGCAAGTAAGAGTTTCATCCCTTTCTGAACAGTATACACTTGCTTAACCTTTGGCTGTACATCTGATGTTAGTACAACATTTAATCAATACACTAAAAAATTATCAACTTTGCTCAAGTTATAGGTCAGCTCCACTGCACTTTTCATATTCATTAACTATTTTACTCTCCAAATAATATTTTGATCATTATTTCTCTCCTCCAGAATTTCTGAATTTCCAAGGAGAGGAAATGATTTGCCCAAGGTCCTGTGGTTACTATAGGATTGAGGAGAACCTCAAGCCCAATTTCCAGAACTCTTATGCTTTCCTTAGCTCTGGAGAGTCTCTTCTGTAAGATTTAGTCGCTGATCTCTCAGTAAAACCAATGAGAGACACACATAGAGTGTGAACATCTGAGAATCATAAATTTTTGAGCTGGAAAAGATCTTCAAAAGCATCTTACCTAATCCTCACACTTTATGGACTGAGATTTTTAAAAGGCTGTTCAGAGTTCACTTTCTGCCCTACCATGGAGCCTCCCTGAGTGCCAGTTCATGATGCACACATCTATAGACATATTTAAGAGGCTGATTCAGAGGGACCAGGTAGAAGGGTGCTGGGACAGTGCAGGCTTGTCATCTGTCAGGGCTTGTAAAGCTGAAAATGTGGAACTACTTGAGAAACATCTTGAATGAAGAATCAACACACTAGTCTTTCACAGGGCATCGTTAATTCAAACAATCATCAAAATTAGTAAATAGAAAAATTACCTCATAGCTGAAGTTGATATAGCCAGGGTGCCCAGGATGAGGTGGTAGCTTTTATAGGAAGGAGTACAGAAAAATAGAAATAGAGAGGGAAAAAGAGAGAGAGAGGGAGAGAGAGAGAGAGAGAGGAAGAGAGAGGAAGAGATTAAGTCAATATGCAATTGTTCACATTATAGGAAAGTAAAGTTATTTTAAAAAAAATCTATATAGTACAGAATATATTTGAGGACTACTTTTAATTTAAATAGGTATACTCTATAAGAGAGGCCTTCTTATTGTAAAGGACTCTCAAACAGCTAAATAACTCTCCTAGGAGTAATACTATCATGGTAAAAGTCCTGGAAGTAGAAACCAGCGCACATTCATTTTTCCAGCGACTCTTGGGACAAGCCCATCCACCCCATGTTGTCAAGGAACCCTTTCCTATCCCACTGACCAGTTTAGTTGTTGATGAAACTCACTCCGTGTTGGGGAGAGAGGTAGGTTTCTACTGCACAATTTTAAAAACATCAACAAGAAAAGAATTTTCTCACAAAAGGTCCTTTATAGATCAGCTTGTTAAGTGCCTTAAGTATCAAAGGGATTTCTCATAATTAGCATGCAAGTAAAATAACACATCCATGCTAACAAAAGGAGCAACTAAGTGGGAATTATTGATGAATTTGAGAACAAGATACATTCTAAATTCCTCCCCTGGACAAAGAAAGAGTCGATTTATGAAATTTAGACCAATCCTTTTTATTATTCTCTCAATGTATTTATGGCAGAATTTTAAAAATTCAAAAACAAAAAGAAACATGAATAATTATCTGAACCAGCACTGTCTGTCCCCTCCAATGTGGGGACTAATCCTTTTTATTATTCTCTCAATGTATTTATGGCAGAATTTTAAAAATTCAAAAACAAAAAGAAACATGAATAATTATCTGAACCAGCACTGTCTATCCCCTCCAATGTGGGGGCCAAGTGACTGATGCCTGCTTTGTGGAATTCTGGAACGCGCCTGGAGTACAGGAGAGATGAGATGAAATGGCAGCATGCAAGAAATCTCCCTCAGATACGGGGCTAATTAGGAGTTGACTCTGTTCTACTCTTTCAAAATGCTCATATTTCATAAGAGGATTTATTCGCTCTCATCTGAGTGTGAAACTGTCAGGACAGAAGCCCTCTGAGATTGGGAGTGTTGGATTGTGGCATGGAAAAGGACTGAATTTGTAATGGAGGAAGCCCTCTGGGACTAAGAAATCACCACAATGCAGGATTTCAGGGAGGCACAGTGCAGAATCTTGGTCTTATGGGTGACAGAGAAAAAAAAGAGGAAGGTATGCAAGCTTACTGGCTTCTGGTTGTATCAACTGCTCTTTATGCCACCAAAAAGCATTGCCTGCATGTGATCTAAGCTCTCTGCCCTCATGTAACTCTATCTACAGAGTGGGTCAGAATTCCTGGTCTTTGGTGAGCTTGAATATAAAGTATGTCAGTGTTTTCTGGACATAGGCAGGATTGTGGGCAACCACAGCAAAGCCAAACCACCTACTTAGCAGATGCACCCAAAGGGTTGGGATGGGGCCTCTGGGAATGGAGAGATGGTTCAAGAAGAGAATTCCTAACAGAAATCTTACCCACTTCGGGGTAATAGCAGTGGTATTTGAAGGGCACAGGAGATTTGAAAACTTGTAAGAAATTGAGCTTCTGAGATTTTTGTAGGATTTGCCTAAGGCTGATTGAATACTTTCTCTGGAAGGCTTTCAAGGGCTCCTTCAAAGGACTACCCTATCTAGAGATGGGCACTTATATTTACAAGCTACTTCTTTTAGTAGGATCTCCTGGGAAAATTTGTTAAAATGCAGAGTCCTCGACCCCACCCCAGATGTACTGAATCAGAATCTTTGCTGGGGGCAGTCAAGAATCCATTTTTTAAAAAAACAAACTTTTTAAGGTATCTTCAACACAGAGGTATTTGGGGACTTCTGAACTTGTACTGTTTTAAACCGTGAAGTCTACGAACCATAGGGTAGATTTTAATTTTTAGTCTTATGAAATTAGACAGCTCTACACAAGGGATGTTTTACTCACAGGCATAGCGAAGGCTGCTCCCAAGAGGCAGGCAAACAAAATCCAGGTCCCCATTTCTGGTGGTTCTGAAATCCAAAGCAACAACTGCTTTTCTTATGTCTTCTCAATCATGGACATAATTAATGTTCCATAAAATATACATTATCTACATTATTATGTTGCTAATAAAAGGATAGAACAATTTTTGTGAGGTGACTTCATTCACATGTGACTGCAACTTTTCAGTCTATATAATTGTAGAATCAGAATAGTGATAAAGATGCTTTGAAATTAGATTGAGAGCTTAATAAGTTGTGGGAACATAAATGATCTATCACTACAATTTTTGTCTTTACTATACAGCTAGTAGCATCAGAGGAGCTAGTGATATTTATATTGATTGAAAGAATAAAGTTGACCCTAGAAGTTTGGGAGATCATCAAAGTGCACAGTATTCTACACTTTTAAAACAAGAAGACACAGAAATATATTTTGTACAGTGCACTTGAGTATTATCATTATTAAAAACAAAGACTTATTTGAGAAAAGATATTAAGTAATTTGACAAAATAGATTAAGCAGGGAGTGGGGTTTTGTTCCAGATATTCCCATCTATAGCAAAAGATAAGGTTGAACCAAAGGAAGTGGACAATGCTAGTATTCCATGATACTTTAATGGATTTTGAATGATTTCTGCCTAAAAGATTCCATCTTCAGCTAATAACAGTTTTATATTTTTTGACAATGCACTACAATTATTCCATAATTAAGGGCCTTACGACATGAAGTGAAAGAGGCCACCCTAAAATATACACATTGTTTTGTCACATAGATTACTGACTGACTTGGAAAGCTACCAGAAGATCTTTAAGTTTAGATAAGAAGTAAAAAAATCACATTAATTATACTGTCTACAAAAAGTACACTGAAACTTTCTACGTCCTAAATCTGTTTTGCTAAAAGGTTAATAAGAAAATACATTTTGTTGATCATTCCATTTGATATAATTAATAAAATGTTTTTAAAGAAGTGCATCACAGCCTGTGCAAGCATTATTTTATCTTAATTGGTAAGCAATTAAAAAAATATTTTTGTCATGAAATCTGAATCCAAGGAGAGCTTTGCAATTCTTGAACTAAAATTCAAAAAAAATACAAACACACACTTTACTGCATTAACAGTAAAACCATTCATTAAAGAAATCAGAGTCTAATTTAATTATGGTCCAACTGAAAAAATAACTGTTGATGGAATAAAGCATTAGAAATATGGAATATATTTGCATATTTTCAACATGAAATGCAGAGAAGAAATAAGCACAATAAAAAGGATACCAAATTATGAATAAAATCCACATACCTTTGAAGGTTTTCTAAGTTTCTATCTGAAACTCAGGGATGCTTGATCCTGTAGCTTTCTCCCAACTAGGAGCCCAATATATATGATTCCTGGCATCTAGAGCAGCCAATCAGGTTTCTGAAGGGAAAATGTGTTGAGTATAGCTAAAAATCCCTGTATCATGAAGTTTTAGAAGCTGTGATCAACCTTTAAGCTGTATGTAGTGATTAGTGCATATAGACTCTTTCATTATGGGCAATAATAGGTTTAGGAGGCAAAAAGTTTCACCTGGATGTTTTGAAGTCAGCAAATTATTTAGCTGAACATGCTGATGTATTCAAATTTATTTTTAAGAAGCTGCTATACCATTGTCTACTTCTCAGTTCTAGCAAACAACGTTGTTCTTTCCCAAAAATAAGGCACAAAGTTGAGTTTCTCTAGTGTTATCACAGTGGCCACTAGGGTTCTCCAGCCTTTTTCTGATTAGGATACACTGGTTCGAATTCCCATTCTGATAAGCAAACCAAAAACACTCCCCAGTATGGCCCTGACCGATCATGATTTTATCATTATCTGTCCTTTGCCTCTCTTTCCCTTGTTCCCTGTGGCTGCTCCATTATCACCACTCTGATGACCACCAAAAGAGGGGACAAAATTCTTTCTTCTTGGCCCCATGCTGAAATCCTCCTGCCATGCAAGCAACCATAAACTCAAGTTTAGTACAGTAGCAAAATTTATTCTGGCCATCTTAAGGATCAAGCAATGTATATGTCACATGGCAAATAGCATACTAAAAATGTATTTTGATCCTTAGGAACATGTATCACAGGGGACATTGCCCTGCCTCCCCTATTCCACACAGCAAGTTGACCCCTCTCAGTATGGTGGTCCTTCTGGGCCCACAGCAATCCCACTTTCCCATACAGGCAAACACAAATTCCCCTCTCTTTTTCAGAGCCTCTTAGCTATCTTTTTACGTATGTTTTTCCCATGCTTTTAGCAGCCTTTGTTAATGTGTTTGACCTCTCTATCTTAATAAAATATATGGACTTTCCTTTATTCTAGAATCAGATCAATTGAAAACAAACTTATAGCTAATGACAGGAGGTAATTAATGAGTTGTCCATTAATATTAAATCATTAAAGGAGATACTAAATATATACCCAATGCAATTGGTGTTATAGCTGGATCTCTCTCTCTCTCTTTTTTTTTTTTTTTTGGTACCGGGGATCGAACTTGGGACCTTGTGCTTGCGAAGCAGCTGGTGGAACCACTGAGCTAAATCCCTGGCCCTATAGCTGGATCTCTTTAATACTTAAGTCATATTGATAAAGCTTGTACATATACATATATTTTTCTGTGGATTTTCCACACTGATTAAATGAAATTTAAGGAGAAAATATCCATGAAAGCAATGTAGCAATTGTGAAGAGATAGAGCTGAGATTTACATGGGTCCTGACTTCAGCTTCACCACAGGTTAAAAGGACTTTGACAAATCACTTAGCTTGTCTAAGCCTCAGTTTCCTCATCTGTAAGATTAGGATTATAATAGAACTTATCTAAGAGGATTAATGTGAAATATAAATGAGAGATATCTCTGGGGAAATTGAAAGATATTTATTGCCCCCTCACTCCCATCACCTAGCAAATAGCAAATGTTTGAACAATGCTAATAAATAAGATCTAAGGTGATCTTTGAATATGAATTATCAGGTATGAATACTAATTGTGAAGAAAGACTTTTCAGTCAGGAAAGAGAGGATGAAAAGAAGGAAGTGGATGGTTCTAACAGGAAAAATGTATGCATGAAATCGAACATATAATATGGTTCTAAAAGCCAAATGTCCCCGTGAGTATATTTATTTGTGAATCATATGTCAAAGATAAGAGGGATTCTCTCTGAAGAAAGTTGCAAAATAAAGTTTAGGAGAATTAGCGGAGACGTACAACAAGGTAATAAAAGAGAATAAAAAGGAGAAAAGGGAATATGTATATCACACTATATTCTCTTTCAACCCTTACCCCCATTTTATTTAATTACATACATTGCAGTGCCTGAAGGGATTGAAGACATATTTTTTTCCACAAACTTCTGAGTAATCTCTATTAAGGAAGTCGTTGATTAATTACTTTTGGTCTTAAAGTTTTATTCTCATTACTTTTTCTTACCTTCCATGAATGAGAAGGTGATAGATTTGGTCACAATGATCAACAGGATGTTTCTTCACGGTGACTTTAATCCCTGTGATCCTACAGTTAGGTAGTTACTCTACTGTTCAATTGAGTTCTTTTGTCCATTTTTTTTTGTAGTTATTCTTTTTCTTGACTTGCAGTCCGTCACATTTTGGTGTTCCTAGGATGCTTATGCTAGCAACTTCTCCCTTTTTAATTTGCTGCTTCTAATTTACAGTGTGCTGAAAAAACATATGCCCAAGCTTGTCGACTGCAAGCAAAGCAATGCTCTAACCCTATGCTGCCTGCTCACCGAGGCTCACCTGTGAGAAATGCACAGGGATTTCTGCTTTGTGGCGCTGGATTTTGACAGCAGTTTTTTTTTTTTTTTGTCTTGAGCCGCTTCCTTCCTTCCCCTGGCTTACTTCCTGGGTCTCAGCATATTCAGAGGATGAGGGTGATGTTTAGATAAGTCAGGCATTTTGCATTCTACTAGCCTTTCTTATCATCTGTAATAGTCCATCTCTTGGGTCTTATTAAAGTAAATACACAATTGTCCAACATTCTGGAATAATTTCAAGAGTAAGTATTCTTGAGTAACTGGAGCAAAACTCAGCTTTTAAGTGTTTCTTCTGCTGACATTTACTTATAAGAAAAAATCATACTCGAGGGTGCTTTTGGTTAGGATAGAATTGGAGTTGCACCCTCTTCTGAACTTAGACACTTCATCACTAATCGATTCGGATAAATATTCAGACTCTGGACACATTTCAAACCTTGGAAGTCGGCTGCTACATTTTATCCTTCCTTAGGGTACTTTAGTACCTGAAAAACTCTCTTAGGCAGAGTAGGTGCTACAATTTTAATTGAGGAAATTGTGGAAAAGTTAACCATGCCATTGTGAAAATTAAGAAATATTCTTTGTTGATGTGGATTCTGCAAAGACAAAGAAATCATGCAGTGTTGAGATAAACCATTTAAACAGCTAAGATGGATAGCAAGGTCCCCTTTGTCTAAAATCATTTCTCTCTTGATCCCTCTTTTCTCTCCATTTAAGCAGATATTAGCCAAAACATTAGTTATAGCATCTAAACAACTCATCCCTGATAGTCACTGTGTAGCCAATATTTAATTTTATTTCATTTACAAAATCTGTGAATGCAATAAATTCAGAAGAAATAGAAGAATTTGGGGACATAGTATTTCTGATTTGCGTTCGATGAGAGTGATTAATAAGTGATAGTGTTAGACGACTTTCCAAAAACCCTGAGTTTATTTAATGCTCATTCTTAGGAGAACTAAAAGTTGAAAATAAAATCTAAACACAGTACTTTTTAAAGTGAGAAAAGTTCTTTTAGAACACATGAAGATAATATCTTAATAACATAAGCATTCACAGAAAGAATTCATGTAACTTGTAATTTGAAAGGTCTGTAGGCATTTGCTAAAGATCTGGTAGAGCAACTTTCAATAAAGGAAATTATATGCAGATGGATAGGGTGCTGTTTGAGTTATAATTAACCGGTAACTGTCGGGAGTGAAAATGTTACATCTATGTCAACAGAGACAGCACTGTAATATAAAAACAAGCATTGTAATTTCTGTTTATTGGACAAAATGCAACAAAGTAAGTTGTACTTTCCTGCTGGGGTCTAAGAGACACACAGATGAGTAGTTTCTAAATAAAGGCAATGTACTATGGTGGAGAGAACTTGATCTTTGGCAGAAGACAGGCTAGGTAAGAATTGTGGTTAGGCCTCTGACCCATGGTGCCCGACCTTAGCCAATGTACTTGACCCTTCTGTGCACTTACCATAATGCCTGGAAAATGGGAAAACATCAGTAAGGGGTGCCACTAATGTTATTCAGCATGTGTTTTTACCCTTAAATGTAATGATGTTCAGTATGTCAATTTTAGTAATTTCTGTAGGAAGAGAGAAATTTCAAGGAAACAAAGAAAATGGCTCACCAGCCAAAATGTTGGAAATATCTCTTTCACATATTTGATACATAAGTTTTCTTCTATTGTTCTTAGACAGAAAAATCTTATATGGCTGCACACTTTAGTAACATAACTTTTATCTTACCTCTTGCAGAAAATGTTAGAATACCATTTTCATATGGTGTGAAATCCTACAGGGGAAAGAAACCATGTAGGGCTTCAGTGCCAGCACTGTCAGCAGTTCCAGCTGCATTGTCATTCCTGGTCCCCATTGCAACTGCAGTTTCTGCTAATGGCCCTTCTAACACAGAGTCCCACATGGGTTGTCGACTGGTATCTTCTTCATGACTCCCTTAAAATATATAAAATTTAGTAATAGCAGTTAAGAATTATTTCCAAGCCTCTTTTTGAAAAATCACATTATGAATAGTATGTCAGCTTGGAGTTTTGATGAAATCTGAAACTGATGTAATTCTGAGGAATGAAATAAACCAGAGCTAAGGCCAGAAATTAATTTAGTTCTACTCATTTTATTATATGGAATTTTCACTTGAAATTATACAATGTATGTTTAGGAATTCTGTGAGGTGGGTACAAGTGTACTCAAATTGTGGATGGCATTTTTCCTAGAATAATGCTAAGGTAGGTTCAGAATCACAAATTTTCCATTTTAAAATCTTGCTTGATGTTACATCTTCATCTTTTTTGTTCTTAGCACAATGATATTTATCTTCTAAGTATTTTGGTAGATTCCATAAATCTCCACAATTCTTAATTCATCAGAATGAAGTATTTGTTGAATATTTGTAATATACAAAGCCTAGGACACATATAAATATGCAGCATTATATCCATACAATGGAATATTACGCATACAATGAAGTATCCATACATGCTCTAACATGGAAGAATCTGGAACACATTACATTAAATAAAAGAAGCCAGAA